TTTCCAAGTGGTGGACTCAGCACCTTTCAGAGAAATGATGGCTTGTGCCCGCGCCGCGGTGGAGAGTGCCAAGCCGTCATCATTTCTTCGCCAAAAAGGCAGTGCCAGCCCTGCATTCACATGTAGAAGACATGGTGGGCCAGTCTTTGAGCATGTCGGTCTCTGCCAAAGTGCACGGCAGCGCCGACGTGTGGAGCTGTAACTACGGTCAGGGACAGTACATGTCATTTACGGCCCACTGGGTGAACGTGGTGCCGTCACAGCCGCACCAGCAACTTGGACAGGTCACGCCGCTTTTGCCTCCACGTTTGCACGTCCTTGGTCCGGCAAAGATGTCCGCCTCTACCACCTCTTCTTCCCGCCGTGTCCTCAGCCGCCACCCCCCCCGTGCCAAGTCCCATTACCCGACCGGCATATCACATGTGCAGGGCGCAACGGTGTCACGCTGTTCTGCACCTGGTATGCCTTGGCGAACGTAGTCACACAGGGGAGGAACTTCTGAGTGTAATGAACAGAGAAATCGACAGATGGCTGTCTCCGCGCAAACTGAAAATCGGAACCATGTTGACCGACAACGGAAAGAACATGGTGTCTGCTCTGCGTCAAGGAAGGTTGTGCCATGCGCCATGCATGGCTCACGTGTTCAATCTGGTTGTCAAGCGGTTCTTAAAATCCACCATCCCACTGCAAGACATCCTTAAAATGTCACGTAAACTTTGCATGCATTTCAGCCATTCCTACACCGCAAAGCACACCCTCCTTGAGCTGCAGCGGCAGAACGGAATTCCACAGCATCGCCTGATCTGCGACGTTGCAACAAGGTGGAATTCAACCCTACACATGTTAGACCGCCTTTACGAACAGCGAAAGGCCATCACCACCGATTTCCTGATGTTTACAAGCGGATAAAGGTACTCCCCTGTGTGTAACTTCGATGTCAGCCATTGGCAGCTCATGCGTGACACCTGCCGCTTGCTCAGGCCCTTTGAGGAGGCCACGCTATTCGTGAGTCGGCAGGACTATGGGATGAACGACGTCATTCCTCTGTTGCACGTCCTTGAACAAATGCTGTTAACAATGGCTGGTCAGGGTGCGGTAGACGTGGCGCACAGATCTCAACGCCACATGACCCCTGTGGGGGCAGGACAGGAAGAAGAGGAGGAGGTAGAGGAGGACATTTGTGCTCAGGAATTATTGAGTGAAATGGGTGGTTTTTTTCCACTCAGCGGACAGGAGTGGAGGAGCAGAGCATCTGGTAGAGGAGGAGGAGGAGGAGACAGAGGACCCAGACGCACCGTGCAGTATGCTGTGGAGATGGAGGCAGGGAGTCCCTCGCATTCCTTGGCACAAATGGCCCATAGCATGCTCGGTTGCTTGCGTAGCGACAGCCGAATAATAACCATCAGACAGAGGGATGACTTTTTGGCTGTCCACCTTGTTGGACCCCTCGCTCGCTACCGTTCCAAAATGGTGGCCTTTTTCACACCTGCTGAGAGGGAGGCCAAAATAACGTACTATAAAAACCACCTATGTAGTCAGTTGGTCTCTCTGCCTTTGTGCGCCAACGTCCATCCTCAGACACTGTGGGCCCTGTGCGCTCGCGTTCCGCTGCCATGGCAGCAGGGGAGGGGTGGGGTGGTAGGAGCAGTGGCAGCTCCACCAGCAGCAGCTGCCTCAGTCTGCAGTCGATGATGAGTAGCTTTTTCTTCACCAGCGCAGTGAGAAACTACTAACCAGCCGCAGCAGCAGCAGCAGCAGCATCAGGTGGACCTGGAGCAGGACCTCAAACAACAGGCTTGGGCCTACTTGGACAGCACCCTGCCAACCGAGGTAGACAATCCCCTTGACTACTGGGCAACGAAACTTGACCTTTGGCCCCAACTACTAGCTGAATTTGCCCTTGAAAGGCTGTCATGCCCGGCCAGTAGCGTGGCATCGGAGCGCGTGTTTAGTGCGGCAGGAGGTATTGTAACTCCGCGGAGGACACGACTGTCCACCCAAAGTGTGGAGAGACTCACGTTTGTGAAAATGAATCAGCGCGTGGATTAGTCTGGATTTCAAACCACCAGTTCCTGACACAACTGACTAAATCCGCCATGAATCATGCCTCAAACATGTGCCACTTTGAGGTCTCCTCACACACTGCTGGTGTGTAGAATTTTTTGACATAGGGTGCTGGCAGATTACGGGCCTCCCATAGCTGCTGCCAGGCCCCTAATCTGCCATAGGCCCCTATATACCGCCTCCTCATGCTGCTGCCAGGTCCAGAGTCTCTCATGGGTCCCTGTACGGCCTCCCATTGCTGCTGTCTCCATCGCCACACTCTGCCATGTGCCACTTTTCAGGTCTCCTCACACACTGCTGCTGTGTGTAGAATTTTTTGACATAGGGCTGGCAGATTACGGGCCTCCCATAGCTGCTGCCAGGCCCCTAATCTGCCATAGGCCCCTATATACCCGCCTCCTCATGCTGCTGCCAGGTCCAGAGTCTGTCATGGGTCCCTGTACGGCCTCCCATTGCTGCTGTCTCCATCGCCACACACTGCCATGTGCCACTTTCAGGTCTCCTCACACACTGCTGGTGTGTAGAATTTTTTGACATAGGGTGCTGGCAGATTACGGGCCTCCCATAGCTGCTGCCAGGCCCCTAATCTGCCATAGGCCCCTATATACCGCCTCCTCATGCTGCTGCCAGGTCCAGAGTCTGTCATGGGTCCCTGTACGGCCTCCCATTGCTGCTGTCTCCATCGCCACACTCTGCCATGTGCCACTTTCAGGTCTCCTCACACACTGCTGCTGTGTAGAATTTTTTGACATAGGGTGCTGGCAGATTACGGGCCTCCCATAGCTGCTGCCAGCCCCTAATCTGCCATGGCCCCTATATACCGCCTCCTCATGCTCTGCCAGTCCAGAGTCTGCTCATGCCATGTGCCACTTTCAGGTCTCCTCACACTGCCATGGCCACTTTCAGTCTCCTCAATTGCTGGTTTGACATAGGGTGCTGGCAGATTACGGGCTCCCATAGCTGCCTCCCCTAATCTGCCATGGCCCCTATAACCCCGCCTCCTCATGCTGCTGCCAGGTCCAGAGTCTGTCATGGGTCCCTGTACGGCCTCCCATTGCTGCTGTCTCCATCGCCACACTCTGCCATGTGCCACTTTCAGGTCTCCTCACACACTGCTGGTGTGTAGAAATTTTTTGACATAGGGTGCTGGCAGATTACGGGCCTCCCATAGCTGCTGCCAGGCCCCTAATCTGCCATAGGCCCCTATATACCGCCTCCTCCTCATGCTGCTGCCAGGTCCAGAGTCTCTCATGGGTCCCTGTACGGCCTCCCATTGCTGCTGTCTCCATCGCCACACTCTGCCATGTGCCACTTTCAGGTCTCCTCACACACTGCTGGTGTGTAGAATTTTTTGACATAGGGTGCTGGCAGATTACGGGCCTCCCATAGCTGCTGCCAGGCCCCTAATCTGCCATAGGCCCCCCCTATATACCCGCCTCCTCATGCTGCTGCCAGGTCCAGAGTCTGTCATGGGTCCCTGTACGGCCTCCCATTGCTGCTGTCTCCATCGCCACACTCTGCCATGTGCCACTTTCAGGTCTCCTCACACACTGCTGCTGTGTGTGTAAATTTTTTTTGACATAGGGTGCTGGCAGATTACGGGGCCTCCCATATAGCTGCTGCCAGGCCCCTAATCTGCCATAGGCCCCTATATACCGCCTCCTCATGCTGCTGCCAGGTCCAGAGTCTGTCATGGGTCCCTGTACGGCCTCCCATTGCTGCTGTCCCATCGCCACACTCTGCCATGTGCCACTTTCAGGTCTCCTCACACACTGCTGGTGTGTAGAATTTTTTGACATAGGGTGCTGGCAGATTACGGGCCCCCATAGCTAGCTGCTGCCAGGCCCCTAATCTGCCATAGGCCCCTATATACCGCCTCCTCATGCTGCTGCCAGGTCCAGAGTCTGTCATGGGTCCCTGTACGGCCTCCCATTGCTGCTGTCTCCATCGCCACACTCTGCCATGTGCCCACTTTCAGGTCTCCTCACACACTGCTGGTGTGTAGAATTTTTTGACATAGGGTGCTGGCAGATTATGGCCTCCCATAGCTGCTGCCAGGCCCCTAATCTGCCATAGGCCCCTATATACCGCCTTCCTCATGCTGCTGCCAGGTCCAGAGTCTGTCATGGGTCCCTGTACGGCCTCCCATTGCTGCTGTCTCCATCGCCACACTCTGCCATGTGCCACTTTCAGGTCTCCTCACACACTGCTGGTGTGTAGAATTTTTTGACATAGGGTGCTGGCAGATTATGGGCCTCCCATAGCTGCTGCCAGGCCCTAATCTGCCATAGGCCCCTATATACCGCCTCCTCATGCTGCTGCCAGGTCCAGAGTCTGTCATGGGTCCCTGTACGGCCTCCCATTGCTGCTGTCTCCATCGCCACACTCTGCCATGTGCCACTTTCAGGTCTCCCTCACACACTGCTGGTGTGTAGAATTTTTTGACATAGGGTGCTGGCAGATTACGGGCCTCCCATAGCTGCTGCCAGGCCCCTAATCTGCCATAGGCCCCTATATACCGCTTCTCCTCATGCTGCTGCCAGGTCCAGAGTCTGTCATGGGTCCCTGTACGGCCTCCCATTGCTGCTGTCTCCATCGCCACACTCTGCCATGTGCCACTTTCAGGTCTCCTCACACACTGCTGGTGTGTAGAATTTTTTGACATAGGGTGCTGGCAGATTACGGGCCTCCCATAGCTGCTGCCAGGCCCCTAATCTGCCATAGGCCCCTATATACCCTTCCTCATGCTGCTGCCAGGTCCAGAGTCTGTCATGGGTCCCCGTACGGCCTCCCATTGCTGCTGTCTCCATCGCCACACTCTGCCATGTGCCACTTTCAGGTCTCTCCTCACACACTGCTGGTGTGTAGAATTTTTTGACATAGGGTGCTGGCAGATTATGGGCCTCCTATAGCTGCTGCCAGGCCCCTAATCTGCCATGGGCCCCTATATACCGCCTCCTCATGCTGCTGCCAGGTCCACAGTGTCTCATGCCATGTGCCACTTTCAGGTCTCCTCACACTGCTGGTGTGTGTTGAATTTTTTGACATAGGGTGCTGGCAGATTATGGGCCTCCTATAGCTGCTGCCAGGCCCCTAATCTGCCATAGGCCCCTATATACCGCTTCCTCATATGCTGCTGCCAGGTCCAGAGTCTCTCATGGGTCCCTGTACGGCCTCCCATTGCTGCTGTCTCCATCGCCACACTCTGCCATGTGCCACTTTCAGGTCTCCTCACACACTGCTGGTGTGTAGAATTTTTTGACATAGGGTGCTGGCAGATTACGGGCCTCCCATAGCTGCTGCCAGGCCCCTAATCTGCCATAGGCCCCTGTTGTCGCTTGTTGGCATATTCCGCTCGTTCAGATGCTCCTTCTCCTGCTACTCCTCTTCACGGATTCCCGTCAGCAGTCTTTCTTGGAATCCGTTTCCAAGAGACAACAGTTTGCGAGCACGCACCAGACAGTGCAGAAACTGAACGTCCTCCTGTCCAAGTTGCTGCTGCCAGGCTCGTAATCTGTCATGCGCCCCTGTACCGCCTCCTCATGCTGCTGCCAGTCCAGAGTGTGTCATGGGCCCCCGTACCGACTCCAAATGCTGCTGCCAGGCCCGTAATCTGTCATGGGCCCCTGTACCGCCTCCCCCATGCTGCTGCCACGTCCAGATGTGTCATGGGTCCCTGTACGGCCTCCCATTGCTGCTGCCAGGCCTGTAATCTGCCATGGGCCCCCGTACCGACTCCTCATGCTGCTGCCAGGCCCGTAATCTGCCATGGGCCCCTGTACCGCCTCCTCATGCTGCTGCCAGGTCCAGAGTGTCTCATGGGTCCCTGTACGGCCTCCCATTGCTGCTGTCTCTATCGCCACACTCTGCCATGTGCCACTTTCAGGTCTCCTCACACTGCTGGTGGTTTCCATTTTTGTCATAGGGTGCTGTATGGCCGGCCTCCCATTGCTGCTGCCTCCACCGCCACACTGTGGCTCCACACTCTGGTTTTGGCCCCGTGACTGGCCAAATGAGTGAAGTGTGCGGTGATTCTAAGATCGACGGCACTCATCTGCATGTCATACTGCCTGACAGTATTATTTCTCTTCCCCAGCAGACTCCAAGGGCATTTAAATTAAAGGTACAGTGTTCAGCACTAATATTAAGTCTCTCTGAAGCCTAGAAACACCCTTTTTTAAGTTAAATTCACAGCGAATATATTCAACTCGAATCGAAATTTTTCTACGAATTCGCCGAATCAGTCGAATCGAATTTTTGAATACTTCGCTCATCTCTAATCATAATACTTATTTTTCCCAGTAGTAATAAAGTTACCAATATATTTCACTGTATCTAAAGATTGATTGATGAACTGACAGCATTCCATCTTTAACATCTTCTGAATTTCATCGTTTATGATGTCTTTGATTTAAAAAAGAAAACAAAAATCATCTAAAATAATAATTTATTGGTGTTTAAATTTCGTTGCAAGCAGTTCTGCCTGCAAGTCAAAGCAGGCCCCTGCATCTGCAATATGACATGTTCAACACCTACGCTAAGCACAACAGGCAATAATGTGATTATAATCACAACTGAAAAGGCAAGTCAAGCTGTCATCGTGGCTTATGTGATGTCACACAAACCTCTGTTGGAACACATTAGTGATTGGGGACAAAAAAAATAAAGTGCAGGGTTTTTTTTTTTGGTCTTGAATTTCCATGTGCTAATCTTAGCATAATTTATAACTTGAAAAGTAACTTTGTTGTGTAGTGTGAATTTGAAACATAAACTATAACTAATTTAAAACATTATTGTGTGGTGTAACAGAATATAAACAATGGTAGAAAATGAAAATATTTCTTTTGTTTTCTTGAAAGTGGATAGTTGAAATGCTATTAAAATATGAAACGATCATACTGGCAAAATACAGGAAAAAATAATTGGATGTGAATCCCAACAGATGATCATCATTCAATTGAGTCTGTACACACTTAAAGTGGCTGCAAACCTCAGACATGAAATATGAACAAAGCATATCTGTCACGTACCTGATTGGAGACTGAAATGACAAGGTTGGCCTCACTTGTGTCAGTAGCCCTGAACCCACTGGAGGTGGAACAGAGGGTGTCTAGGGACCAGGGGGACAACAGCGCCAGCAGATGTTGTTTTCAGCTCTTGCAGTTGGAGATTTTGGAAGACTGATGAACCTCTGATTCAGTCACAGTAGTGATATGCGGAGCTGGTATGGTAGGTCGACAGGTGTGCACCAGAGCAAGTCAGGAAGCAGGGATGGGAGACAGGAGCAGTGTCAAAGGAATAGCCGGGGTCATCAAGGGGCGGACATCAAGGTACCAAATCAGAAGCAAGCCAAAGTCAGGAGCAGAGCCGAAGTCAGGAACCAGTAACAAGCAGGAGAGTAATCAAAGTCAGGTCAGGAACAAGCTGGGTCAGCAACAAGGAAATCACATAGGAACAAGCAGGAAATGGGGAACAGCTGAAGACCAGTCAGCACAGGCAGAGGCACCTTTTAAATAGTCCGTCTGGCGCCAATCTTCACCCGTGCGTGTGCACGTGTGTGTGCGTGATTGTGCATTTCTGTACACATGCGCACGTCTATTCACCAGCTGTCTCACGGGAATTACCTTACAATATCCATCTATAGGGTGTACTTGTCTCAAAGTGGTAGTGAACCATTATTGAAAAAAAAAAAAAAAAAAAAAAACTGGTCCCCCATGGTAAAGCCACAATATGCTAGTAAGCACCGTATACTAGCACATTATGACAAACATACCTGTGAAACGGATACCTCCAGCAGTGCCTTGTCTTCCCCTAGCCTTCCTTCTGGGTTTGCCGGCTGTGGCCACTTGAATGGCTGAGCTGCCATTACATCACTCCCACGCACGCACCCGGAATGGAAATGGAACTGCATATTCCAGATGAGGTCTTACTAATGATTTGTATAGGGCAAAATTATGTGTCTCTTTCTGGAATTTAAGACTCTTTGCTAGCTTTAGAAACTACAAATTGCCATGCCATTATCAAGTCTATGATGAACCAAGACACCCAGATCTTTCTCAACTAACATTGAAAGTGTCTTGTTATATCTATTTAATAATTGCAAAAACGTATTTATTAATCCTGCCAGAAATCATCTGGTGCCCTGTGTAGGAATACATTTCGGGCTTTGGTCCATTCACTGTTTGCAGACAAAGAACTAATGGGGCCGTTCACCCCTATAGTAACCAACTACCAATAATTTTAAGTACTTTGTGCCATTAAAAATTAGGGCAGGTGGTTTAGAATGGCCAATAATGGGACAATTATGTGTCAGGCCCTTACTAGAAAAAAGCCTAGGTTCCTGGAAGACATATTAACAATGTGTTTAGCTTTTATGGGGAAAGTATGAGGAGTATTGCTGTTAAAATGTATAGGGACAGATCAGTGTAAGGCCTATAGGCACTGGTCTCTTAAAGTTGATTTAAACACTTAATGAATATCTTTCAGATAGCAAAATGCTATTTATCTTGAAACTTGATGGTGTGGAGAAGGAATACCTTTTACATCTAATGCTCACACCTATGCAGTTTGCTTTTGATCCATTTTTGCAATGCTTTTGTGCATTTTTCTTTGCTGTCATACACATGTATTTTTGTCACTTTTTGCTTTTTAATTTTTTTTTTTGTTAAAGGGGAAATTTTTTTGTTGCTGGGCAGAATAAAAATGCAAATGCGACAAAAACGCACTAAATGAGTTTGAGCAGTGTCTCCATTGAACTCTATTATAGCAAAAACACTTTTTTTTTTGTTTGTTTAAAAAGGTCCCTGACCCTTTACAAAAATGCAACTGCTTTAGAAAGCATAGATGTAAACGTGTCCTATAGGAAACCATGTTAAATGGACTGCAGTGCGTTTCTGCTAAAAGCACAAAAAAAAAAACTTATTGATGTGAACGAGGTCGTACTGCTGCTGATATATGCCCTGCAGATTCTTTACATTTTCTCCAACATACACTGTCCACAGTCATAACCGACTGAATGTGTAGCTTTAACCACTTGCCGTCTGGCCGTTGTATATAAACGGCCGGACGATGGCAGTCCAGGGGCAGGTTGGCGTTCATAAACGGCACCTGCCATTTTGGACTGTGTGCCCTCCCTGGAAGCACACATCACCATCTGCAAGCACGCATCATTCGGACACAGTGGAACACCAATTGTCTTATGGGACCTCTGTGTGAGGACCCAATCATGTGATCAGTGAACACATGCAGAGTAGTAAGCAAGATGTCACTTCTGACATCATTGCTTACTACTAGTGAAATCTGTGAAGGATCACAGAGGTCACATGGTACAAGGCTATTCACAACAGCCTTGTACCATGTGACAAGCTGTGACCAATCACAGCTCACACAGTATTTCTCAATGGCTGCAAGAATGAAGCCAGAGAGAAGGAGAAATGATTGCTTTTACAGCCTTTATGGGCATAAAAGCAATCAGTGTAAAAAAAAAAAAAATCTTCATCACCCCCCACAAGTAGTACAGTACCATGGTGACACTGTAGTGCTAGGGTGACAGTATGTAAAAAAAAAAAATAACATAAATATTAATATAAATAAAATAAAAATGTAAAAAAAATGTTTTTTTAAATTATAATGTTTGGTTATAAACTAATTTGTTTTATTGTATTTTTTTTACTAAAAACATAACTGAATAAATTTTGGCCAAGATTTATGATGAAATTTTATTTGCAAAATGTTATAAGAAAAACACTTTTTTTCAACATTTTTGGACATTTTCACTAATATAGCAAAAAAAAAAAAAAAAAATCTCAGTGGTGAATAAATACCACCAAAATAAAGCTTTATCTGTCTCAAAAAAATGCTAAAAAATTAATATGGGTACAGTGTTGCATGACCACGCAATTCTCATTCAAAGTATGATAGCGCTGAAAGCTGAAAATTGGCCTGGACAGGAAGGGGGTGACTTGAAGTGGTTAAGAAGAAATGTTTCATATTTTTTTCTGGCTGCAATATATATTTTTTTCTCAGCATATCCCTGCATCCTCATTTAAGTGCATGATAATTAATTGGATGTTTTTTTTTTTTTTAAGTATTATTCCTTAAGCCCCAAACACACAGGCTGAATATCGGGGAGTACCGGCCTGTTCAATAGAAACCAGCCAACATTCGGCCCAGTGTGTACTGCAGTCGGTCCAACAGAAGCTGGATGTTCTTCCAGATTCTGTCGAAGGGGCATGACCAGAAAAGGGTCTGTCAATTTACTTCCGATCAGCGCGGATCGATGTGTTATGGCAGGGGGGGCAATCCCCTTGTCAGATCACAATAGCACAGCGGGGGGGAGATCTCTGTACTAACCCAGTGGGGGAGGATGCTGGGTTGAATGAAAAAAAAAAAAAAAACTGATAGTGTGTAGGAGGCATAACTGTTGCTGGCTTTTTTTTTGGGTAAACACAGAGTTCTGTTCCTGGGCAATGCGTCAACACAGAAGCTTTTTATATCCTGAAAAGGCATATGACAGGGTGATTTGAAGGCAAGAGATTATTGGAGATAGCGACAGAGCATTGCCCTCCTATAATGCAACAATACCTTACAATCAAAATCACCAGCTGTTAAAGCTTATATGACATTTTAGTTGTTGGGTTTATACCTAACCTATTCACAAGCTATACTTTAGTTCTTTGGATAGCAGTGTTAGAGTATATTATTGCATGTGCCCTGCATATGTGACAGCCAGCTCTTACATTTTCAAGACCATAGCTATTTTTTGTATAGTTCAAAGTGAACTTCACTGGGAACTAGTTGATATCGCTAAGGTGAATGATGTGCTTCACATGAAAGGATTTTTATAAGTGACCACATGACCTCTGTTCTCAGCTGCATAAGGGGCTTAAAGAGCTGATGGTGGAGGCTTCTTGTGATGGTGGGCTTGGCAACA